CCTCACTCGGCAGGTTTGTAAAACACTTCGGATAAATATAAACGTACCTAACAATTACGATATGAATAATTAAATAAGTAATATCAGTCGATCAATTCCCAATCGCGGATTTCACCTATCGCGGCCGACGTCTGTATAACATAACACCCGCGGTATAGGTGAGGGATTACTTTAGTAACCCAAACATAACAACGGAATGGTGAGCATGACAAGTGACTGAATAGAGGATTTATAACCAAATATTTAGTGAGAATATAGTAAGATGAAATCCAGTATTGAAACAACATATACGTATGCCTTGAAGAAAAAAAGTGCTGCAAAAGCAAAACGAAATTAGCATGCATTAAAAATTAAAGCATATTGAAGTAAGCAGGATTAAAGTATATTGAACTGGAAGGAAGAATAAAATTATAAAAATTGAAGGAAGTATAAAATTAAGTAGAAAACATTGAAGTAAGGAGCCTCAAGCCATTTGCATTGACGTAGCCATGGCTGCAGTATTAATCATAATTAAACAAGTATTAAGAAAATAAAATTTATTAAAGTAGCGAGTACTGGTAAAAAAAACTGCATGAAACAACAGGCATTGTAGTAGCAAGTATAGAAGTAGCAAGGTTAGAAGCAGCAAGTACTGCAGTAGCAAGTATATAATTATAAGCAGCCTGCAATAGAGAAGTAGCAATTACTGAAGTAGTTGATACTGCAGCAGTAAATATTGACATATTAAATAATTTTGAAGTAGTGAATAAGGGCTGAGTAGAAAAACGCTAATTGAGTTAGCGACGAAAAATAACAAGATTTTCAAGCTAATTAATGTATCTTGTTGCGAGCTATTGACTTCCGGCTTCGTTGAAATGTAAGAAATATTCAAATCGAGTAATGTTACTCACCAAACTTAAATTTATAATGACGGCTAAATGTAAAAAAATTGAGATGAGATAACGTAGTAGACAGAGCTACGTTAGCAACAAATTTTCTGACGCTCCAGAATACGCCGCTCGAGGAAAATTTGCCGATCAGCGAGAGATTTTCGGAAATAATTGTATTCAAACGAAAAATTCGGTTACAAATTCGTTAACACTGGAACTTCTAATCACGTCTTGATATTTGTTAAATCACTTTGAGCTGATACCGAATTCCTTCGTCGGATGAATCGGACACAAGCAGAATTTGAAATTCTGCAAATAAATAGAATTTCAGGTACTCACGTTCAAGTCCGGCGTTGAGTAGTTAGTCAGTCCGGCTTGTCCGTGTTATCGTGTCCACTTCATTATGCTGTCAGAGTTCCATTCTCAATCAAAGTCTCCAACAGTTTAATTTCTGTCACGATTGAGCGAACCAATACACCTCACATCCTCCCTGTTCGATGACCCTTCCTTGACTGAACACACAACTAAAGTACTAAACTGGTGGTTGAACCCGAACGTTCGGAGCTACGTAATTTGTACTATTATAGAAACATTCAACTCGTCTTTCTATAACATCAAGATTATCACAAAATAAATTTGAAAATACGTAATGAAAAGCAAAAAAGTTGCAAAGTAGTCGCTCAGTTATATTTTTTAATAACCTTTTAATAACACCTTTAGCAATTATAAGTAAGTAAGATCCTTTGGAGTTTGGTTACGAAATTTTATTTCCGGGTTACAGGATTTAATTTTCGCATATCAGAGATTGGCAAAGTCTTTATAATTATATAATTATCCAAAAATGTGTTTAAACATTTTATTTCTGCTCGACCTTGCATTTTTAGTTAACGATTAATCAAATATACATATTTCCAGAGTGTTTTAGTACACACTCGTGTCTACCTGGAAAATGTGAGAACGTAAGTGATCCATTTTAGCACAAACTAATATTTACATCAAATTCCTATCACAGTATCAGTGTCACACAAGGTTTTTTGCTTACTGAATATTTGTTTTATATTTGTTCTCATTATATCTGATTCAAAATGTGCTCGTATGAACCAAATTTACTGCGTTGGCAGATGCAGTTAAATAATTGTACAGATTGAGATTGATAACCGGCCGATATGGCTACAACTCTGGAGCCGCCCGGGCGCAACGGAAGACATTTTCATGCCTGAAAATCTTATTCGTTTCCTTGTAACATATTCGGTCTCCTTCCCTCCCCTGAAAAAAATGTTAAGCGTCCAACTGAACTATTTCCTTTATGTATCTTATGAAGTATTGAAAATAATGGTAGATTCATTTGAACTAGTTATATGACTAAATTATATATGTTCATAACCACAATTGTCTGACTTGAAAGAAAATGATAGAAGGCCTTTCCCCACTGTTCTCTTGGTGTAAAACTGTATGGAGATCGAAAAATTACGCAGGACCACAAATTTGTTAAAACATATTTTATAGACTTTTTGATAGGAATTGTTCCTGTTGCGCGAACACTATTGTGTCTTGAACAACTCCCAAATGTGCTTCAAGTAGTCTCCGGGAAAAACTACAAACGTTCAAATTACTTTTTCGTTAGTAAAATGCAAATTGATTTTCTTCTAAGTGTACATCTGGTCGCGTACGGAGCTGAGTTCTTGGCCTAGAGTTAGACTTGGGCGGACCGAGCTCACTGAGAATAGACGATGCCCTTGATAGATTTTCAACTGTCAATTAACGTCACCTAAAAACGCGCTGTCATGAACGCTGCACCGCGATGCAAATAAATAAAATCTTTTCCTTGCTAGTCAGATCGCAGATACCGTGAAACTAAGCGTGGTATGCGAGATCTTTCTCCGAAGAGTTTGATCTGACATGCCGAGAGTAAAGATCAGTAACAACGACTTTCTTGTGACAAGAATGTAACGACAGTTAAGAGCAAACAAGACTGAGATTTTTTGTACGCAGATCTGAGGTAGGGTGAGGAAGTGACCCAAATGTACGATATTTTATTGTTATGTCTATTAAATGTCACCAATACTATAAGGAATGTTCAATTAAAACGCGCCGCATTGAATGAATTTGTCACTATACGGTTTACTGCGAACTCTAATTTTATTAAAAATGATTCCAAAAAATGAAATGAATATTAAAAAAAAACATAGAGATGCAAGTAGGATCCTTATAAAATGCGCAGCTCAAAAAAATTCATTAATAAAAGGCTCGTTTCTGACTGGAGCTGCCGTGTGAAACGAAATCGATCATTTTATAATTTGAAAACATCCTACAAATATTCTTTTTGCAGTTACCTGCTGCCATCGGTTGAGAATCTAGTCTCTAGAGGTAGTTTTACTGGCTCTTTGACGACACAATTGAAATTCGGCGTTAAAATATTCACCGTTTCAACAGTGAATATTTCACCATTCACAATGGTTGGATCTTCAGCCAAACTCGCGGCGAGACCAGAGCGGACAAATTTCAACAATCTTTGCCTTGATGGCATTTCCCATAATGTTTCAATGAACTGTAGAAATTCTCAAGAATTTCGCTACTGTTAACTACTCCAATAAAGCGTATGTGTTCACGTCAGGCTTCGTGAGACTTCCTACCGATATATTAACTTCAAGGTCCATCTGAACTACGGGACAGACAAAATGAATGGCACAAAAAGACGACCTACACAATTTAAAACACCATGCACTAAAGCAGCCAACGTTTTACTTGGTTTAAAATTACGGCTTTAATTAAAAATATGATTTCGGTTTCGATACCGAAACTCATCCAATTGTTCATAAAGACCACAGGAATATCAAATGCATTTTGCAAACTTAAGCCGTTTAAAATGTATCTGATTACAGCGTTTGTGAACTCCCGGGTGCTCATACATTATTTACAAATTAGACCACTAATGAAATTCTTAAATTCCATTGAGTATTTAGCCCCGAAAAAATTAGGGATTTTCTTTCTAGGTTAATTGTCTACCGGCCTCTGCCAGAGGATTTCATCAAAGTATACCTCAGCCGCCGACTTATACTGCTACATAAAATGCGCGAGATATTCGAAGGCATCGCAATTAGTGCCTAGCACGAGTCAAGCCATCAAAACTCACTGCTGTGTGTGTGCGCCCATGAAACGAGTTAGGCATTGAAGCGCATGAAATTGTGGGGCGTACGTGGTGTCGGCAGCACAACTTTACGATGCGCACCTGTACGCCTGGTGAACGCGTGCGTTAAGCCGCGGCCACGAGCGTGAAATCGAAATCAAGGCATAACTTCGCCCACTGCAGTCTTGCTATCGAATATTGAGGCTTCATTGCGACCTAAATTGTTTCCGAATGAATATGGTCTGTTGAATTCATTTGGAACATTCAATTCACGACTTTGTGCATCACTAATGCCGCCTGATGCATAGGAATAGTCATCAATGTTCCTCTCGCCTATATTGAAATTCACACACATAATTTTCTATATCGTAAAGCTCTCGGTGTTCTATTTATCGAGCCATCGAGTCTTTACAATAATAAATTTCTAAATATAACGGCCACTATTCCCAGTTTCCACCGGCTTTAGTACAAAATATTTGTATGCTTTCACTTCAAACTGAAAATCACAAACTGCGTATTCTTGCTCATTCATCTCTCCGCCAGTGACGGTTAATCGGTATTGCTGCCCTCCTCAACTTGTGCACCCCGAGCTGCGCGGACATGAGCTTTTCCTAGCCACAAATCGCACAAAGCTTAAAAGAAAATTCAGTGCATTCGTGCAATGCTTCCAGCCGCCAGTAGAGTCATTTGAGAATTCGAGGCCCTTTCTCGCGCGCCATTTTTAAGGTGTCCTCTTCCCTGGAAGCATTCTGTGCCTATGAGTTAGGGAAATCCACAGGGTGCCATCCAAACTGACCATCGTTTCTTCGCAAGACTCTCCACATTAAACATAATAAAGCTAATCTGTATTGATCACTCTGAAAAGGTTATTAAGAGATGCAAACCTCTTGCACAAGGTAAAAGACTCTCCGCATTATCTCCAGTCAGCATATTGTTGGCAGAAGTGGCATGACAAGTGTAAGCACGTGTGAGCATTTACACACTCTTATGAACACTAACAACACTTTTCATTAAGGACAATTTATTCTGAGAAACAATATAAAACATGCAAAATTCCTCAACATCCCCATTAGGCTGATTCAGATCCGAAAAATTCGCCAGTCTGTGAAAGTCCGAACGGAAATTCGTGGTAGAGATCTTCGGTGAAATTGTTAACGTGGGATCGGAAGATACCGACATGACTTCTAAGCACGATTGTCAGCGTAAGCTTGAGTTCGTTGACGATTGTCCCGATGCTCCAGCTCAGAGGCATGTAGAATGCCAATGTTTGTAGAGAATCCCATAACATTTCTCTGTAGCTTTGAGAAAATTTCGCGGTGGTCACTTGCGTCGATGTTAACGGGCTGGCCTGGCACAGAATTTTAGCGTAGCTTTTCGACGACATGTTCGCGTATTCTTCATAAATGAAGGTTTGGTAGCGTGAAGGATTCGGTGCGTAGTCGACGGGGTTCTCAAAGTAGCTGTCAGACTGAGGTAGGCGCCAGCGAAACGGGACGGATCGGCCGTTTTCGTAAAGTATCGGGTGGTAAAGTGCGTCTGAACGATGAAAATGACAATTTAGGCGAGGTAACGTTAATCATTTTCGGCATCAACTTCCCAATCATTTAGTAAGCAATTTAAATTACAGAAAGGTTAACAGAAGTAGTTTTTATTACTAAAGCTTAACACCTAATCAAGTAGGAACCGTTTCATACAGAAATGGAATATGAATTTATAATTTAAAAAATTAGATTCTGAATAGGCTTTTACAACATTAAATTCTTAGTTCAATGATTTGGCGAAGCGAACCTATTCTTATCATCTGCAGCTAGTAGCCGGCAGCAGACAAATGCGGCGATTCAAGTTATGATTATCGCTAATGACAAAAAACAAATCTAATATAACGCTCAAAACAGAAATGTTTAGTTTTAATCCTTGTCATATTGTATAGAAACAGATGCACGCAGACTATGTACGATCATAAAATTTCAAAATTACTATGTAGTATGACTAGTCTCGCTTCTACATGAGAAGAATAGCCACCGACCTCCGCGCTTCGCTATCTCCCTGAGCACTTCTGACTGGGAGTCGAGGTTGGCGATGTGGAAGTATCCAGTGCAGTGCTTGTGGCAAGACTTGCATCCTGCACCAATGTCCACCAACTCCGTCAGGTAGTACAACTTCCCGTCAGACTCAAAATTGCTATTTTGCACTGAAAAGAAGGTTCAGTCGGTAATATGCGAGCTACATGACAAAATTGGGATTCAAATTATTCCACTTTGCGATTTTGGCAATTGCTAATACAATATTCTAGACACAGTTTCATTTAAAACAGTCACGTAAATTTTCGCAATGCAATAGTGATATAAATCATGGCCAACTATTTAACGACAACCAAACCAAACTTCAGCAGGCATTTGTGACGTCTATAGGCAACACTTCACCTATTTTCTTGACACCCAAGATGCTGCCCATGCGATGCAGAAGAGACAAGTCCAATTGCTCGTGGGTGTGCGTGTGGAGCCGACAGGGATTGGATACTCGCTGCTTATACTCGTACATGACGCAGGAGTCTAGGCTAGCACATCTTGCTTCACATGCATCTGAAAAAACCAAAGAAAGGGTATGTAATCTGCAGTTCTTCATCACGGTCCTGGGCATTCGGCTGCATCTGAGCACATAGGCATTCGCCCAAAAATGGTTACATACAATATATCAAATTCATAGTACAAGACAGTTAAATATAACCATTATCATCCAGATATGAGCTGACTTTCCACTTGCCTAGAGGGAGGTCTATTTCATTATAGACAGGCAGCATCATGGTAACATTCTCAGCTATGAAGAAATTGCCGCTGTCGTTCAAGGCGTTGGCCGCCAGAGTGCCGCCGAGGGTGGTCAACGTAATGTAGGTGAAGAGGGTCATCAGGTTCAGTTTCCTCAACACGAATCCTTCCTCGTGCAGCATCGGCACACGGAGCTTGCTCAAAAACGAGACCAAGATGTGGCTGAAGATAAAGGTTGGAACGAAGTACGTTATCAGATTCAAAGACCAACCGAGGATGAAGACCGTAATTTCCAGTGATATTACATCGTGCAGAACTTCCTTCACGTAAGGCCTGTGATGAGAAGACCACGCCTGCACAAAATTAAACAAATTTCAGGTATCAGTCAAGTCGTTTAGCATGTAACTGACAACATAGAAGCGACTTCATAACTTTTTTTGTGTTAATATCGCTCATTGCGAACGCACATTAATCGAGATAATTAATTTGAAAATATCGAATAAGCAACATGGGCAAAAATAATTAATTTTTGTTTTTATTCGTTGTGCTGCGAATGTAATGAAAAGTATATTACCTTATCTCGGCTGAATAAATATTTACCTTGTATTGATTTTCAAATGCAACCGCTCTACGCTGTTGTTGCAGTGGGCTGCTTCGAGTGGGTTTATTTAATTTGAGGTCCAACTTCACGGACTTCAGCCCACCGCCCAGCCCAGCGTCCAGCCCACTAGGTATAAATCCGTTCTGCTTCTCCGTGGGAATTTTTTTTACGTTATCAAACTCCCTAATAAGCATTACCTCTTGCTCAGTAGAGGACGTTTGTCCAAGGTTACAGAGCCCATTGAACGCCGCACTTCTAGGTAGTACGGCGTCCATTGAAGTACGGCGTCCATTGAACGCAGTACTTCTCTTCCGTACGTCAGACTCGTCGAATTGTTTCACGTCTTTAGAATGGTTATCGTAATTCGTCCCATGAACGAATAACCTGTCAATTCCTTCGCACGTTACGTCACCGTTGGCCAATTCTCGTTTTCCATCTTCCTCTAGTTCACCTATTGGCAAAGTTTCAGATGAAATATCTGACGTTAAGACAGGCTCGACAGATTCGCTTGACGATTTTCCTTTGGGCGAGTATGACACTGGGAAATAATCTTGAATATCCTGTGTAAGGGACTCCAAAGGTCCGGCATCAGCTGCATCTGGTTCTAATGTTCCACACGACTTCAGAGGTGAAGCGGAAGCGACAAAATCCTTGTCTTGTCTCGCTTTGGCTTCACCCGAAAATAAGGCAGTTGTTTCCCTAGGCTCTTTTTTAGAAGAGACCCCGTCTGACGCTACGAGGTCATCTTCAAGAAGAGTTTGAGGCGGCCATGCGGCTCCGGACGGGGGATCAGCTTCCTGGACTGCTGTGGATTTATGGTCGCCATTGCACATTTGGGTTCGATAATGCGTTACTGTGTCATCATGACTGGAATGATCGGAAAGCCCCAGTTCACCTTCGTTTGGGTCCTTACTTAACACGTGTGTGATGGTCATTCCAAAACAAAATGACGCAATTCAGATTTCGTTAGAAGCTGGTACCGAATCAGCTGTCGGCCCTGGAGTAGAATCATTCAGGTATTAATAATGAATGGAAGCGGCCTAACGGGAAGGTTGACTCTCTTTTCTAGGAAAAAGTTGGCATAGTTTTTCCCCTAACCAAGTGAAACATTCAACCGAAATCATGTACAAACATTATAAATGGAGTAAATTGATAGTCTACAAATGAAGACCTATGAAAAATTATTCATGAAACGCTGCACGACTGAAGTATTTGCCACTTGCAAATCAGTAGTTTACACTCGTCCCTCCGACCTGTAAGCATAACATATACCAATCATCACACATGCAAAATGATCTAAAACATGAATGGACACCCAGATCGAAATTGAAGACTACGATCGAACACTACCTAACTAATTTGATCGAACACTACCGATAAAATTTTTGCCAGCAATTGAAGCTCACAAACTGTGAATCAATATTGCCAAAAAGCATCTTTATAGCGCTGTCATTTATCAAGTTAGGACAGTGGGCTTTGTTTACACTATTAAGGTGCAAGTTAGTTACACACAATTACTATGGTGTGCTATGCAAGTTAGTAACAATTACTATGGTTAGTTCTTACTAATAATCGTATTAACGTTGGACGCGAGACTTTCACTCGAACATCTCTCTCATATAGACTCCTGCCCTGAAATGTCATCTCCGTATATGCACAATACAACTCTCCTCTCAACTTGGCAGTCTAGACCACACCTCGTGAATCCTCACATATTTGGGCGTAACCTTCCTAAGTTCACAGTGACAAACTACGCTCTTATTCCCTAAATTTAAAATCCATATTTTCCCAGCGGCAACTACAGTATATTTAAATTCTTACGAGTAATGGTGCAAAGATCAATTGAAATTTTCAGAACTTTGTGCAGATCACACACTTACACAAGCAGGAGCATACGTGACTAACGAAAAGTATAGTACTGAGTATTGACGCAGAATGACAAACAAAGAAAATGTACGAACGAACGTACTTTTTCCCTACTCGACCTAAATTGAGGTTAATTAAATCAAATAAGGCAAAATATAATTTATCTTATAAAAGTTTTTTTTCTATTTGCAAACTTTGCAAAGTAATATTCGTATATATCGTACAAGGTTCATAATTTTCCATTTGATCATTTCTATGCACCCAAATAGCCAATGATGTGGTCTATCCGTGTGACATTAAAACCACCAGCATTTTCGCAGCCGGTTTACGGCAGCTTCTACAACAGACCAATGTCTACCAAACCACATAATGCCTTCAAATGGAATTTCGTCCGTAAGCCAATACAAAACTTCCTACTCGCGTTTGTGAAGAGCGATTTTTTTTATTATGATTTCATTCACAAGTCAACTTATGATGGAAATGAAAATAGAATAGAAACTCAACTGCTGGTCTTTACGTAGAAATTTTTGGAACCATTTCCCTGTTCACGAAAATGTTTGATTATTACAGTTGGGATCGATAACTTTGAGTTATGCTATGAAAATTAGACGAAAAACACAATTTTTAGCTGCACTGTATGCAACTGCAATTACTCTAACCCTGTGTTCGTAACGACAGTTTGAAATGTCCCCTCTAATAATCAGCCCAGGGCAGGCTTTATATATGTTTCCCAGTTGAGAATGCCCCTAATTATTGTTAGAAATGCACGACGATAATCCCAAGTGATCGTCCATCCTGCTAATTTAGGTAAAAAATTGTTATGTTCGTTGAGTTAATTAGTAATTTATCGCGATCATATCTTGAACAATTTTATGGAAAGGGTAGCAGGAGCACCGAAGGAGGAGCCACTGATGACGTGGTTGTGTCGATGGGAGGAGCTACCACATGGGCGGCACAGCCTAATGCACAGAAAATCGCACGAGTATTTTATGAGGGACTCGCGTAGAATCGGAAGAATATTATTCTTGGTGTTAAATACTTTTATTTGGAATCAGAATCTGTTTCAACATATCGTGACGAAATGTTCAACATATCCGTATCGTGACGAAGACTGTAGGGATGTTTTTATTTGCGCAAGAAGTAATAAGTATGTAGAATTTAGGGGAAAATTGGGTAGGTGTAGCGATAAGCTCTGTTTACGAAAGTATTTTCTAGTCGTGGATAGATTTTTGTGTAGGTACCTGCACTTAAGTCTGCAGGTATGTTCAACAATGTTTCGCATTGTATGGGGATGTTGAATCATTCTAAAAATTTATTTGAGATTTTAAATAGATATAATTTTACAACTAATTTTAAATTTTTTTATTCGAAATTTAGGACCATTTTTTGCCCCTGCATATGAACTCGGTATTTTTTGCGTCTTGCGAGTAAAGCTCCAACATCGATTTTGATGCGATGGAAATGGGATTATTTTAATGCAATGGACCATCACGACGACATTCTTAGCACCGACGCGTAAGAATTCACACATTAACAGCGGTATTTAATAAAAATTTTATAAATGCAGATGCACTAATTACACTTATTTTGTGCATTAATTGTTTATAAAAATTATCAATAATTCGATTTTAGGCGAATTGAAGGGTTACCAATTATTGAATTTAGACTTTGAATTCTACATACGCGTTAGCAATTTAAATACTACAACTTACAATTAATCACTGTGGTTGTAATTCCCCGCTAAACGCAGATCATCTGAACTGCACTCGATTCTTACGCACTGCACTTGCGGCGTCATGTGCTTTAAAGCGTCACAAAAGCACCACTGAAGCGTGTAAGTGTAAGCCGGTGTAAAAGTGTGCGCGCTGCATGCAAAAGCACCACTGGAGAGCACAATTGGAAGTCTGTGTAAAAGTGTGCTTTCTGCACGCAAACCACCCCACTGCAGCCTGTAATCCCCTTCTGATAAAAAGGTGACTGCAGCAATAAACGCAGATCTCATTACAAGCAATGAGCCTGTCGAGGGGTCACTCCTCGATGTCATTTGTTCTTCATTGTAGTAGCGAATTCGACGTGCATCACGAGCAGTTGTTGGCACGGCGCTTGAAAAATGGGATGTATTCGTCTGTTCACTAAAAGTGAACTGAGGATGAAGTGAGCCTAACTGAGGGGAATACGGAACAACTTCTATCAATGTATGTGCGGACGGACGGCTTGTACCGATGCACAAGGATCGGTAGTGTGTTTCAGCCCAGATATTAACTGAAAAACTAAATTTTAGAAAAACTATTTTTACTATACAGCTATATATGTACGATTTTTACAATCATTTCGCAGAGCTTTCAATTAACCGGTTCGTTTGTCGTAATTACGAAAACGAATGAATTAAACATGTTACATATGTATACTCTTTCCAAATCCAGAATCTCATTTACTCTGAATATTAAGTGATAATATAAAAAATTTGAGATCCGTTAATATGTACTATAATTTTATTAACATTTATCTGCGTCCACAGTTGCACAACACTTCTCCCAGCATCACAGAAGAAAACTCTGCTCGCCCTTCAAGGCAGACGTGGCACGCGTCGCCCTCGCCGCGACAACGCTTGCAGCCACAGCTGCGACGGCCGCAGCAGCGTAAAGTCTACGAATGCAGCGCGCCCTGTTTTGCACTTCGGTGCAGCCATGCCATCTAAAACAAAAGCTGCTGGAGAGGCTCAGCATTATGAACGCACTGAACCATGAAGGCTTATTGAGCTAAGCAGAGGCCATAAAAAAGCCTCAGAAGAGAGGGAGGCGCCCAATCTCATTGGCTTATGTGTGATTTGGGGATCAGGCGCTGCATAATCTTCAGCCAAGAAGCTTGCATTCATTTTCCATGTATTTTAATAAAAATCTTCTTTTGGTCTAGTTGAAAAATATACTTTCATCATAATTATGATACCAGTTCTGCTTACAGCAAACTAAAAAACTCATAACCAGTATAAAACCATGCAGAATAAATAGAAAGAGAAATGAAAGATTCTGTTCACAATAAGAAATAACTTGACATTTTTCGCAAAAAATGTTTTATGTCTCAGAAGCAACAAGGTCAACAATTTTTCGCCCATGGTGGCCCAGAATGAGCTCAAATAAATTAAAAAGAGCAAAAGTATTAGCTGCTCTCAAGTCATACAATAAATGCACGCATAGGGCAATTCTGACCTGCCAGATGCACGCAGCACTTGTCCCATGGGACAAGGTGCATGGAACACGTGCAATATCTTGACCTGCGTGCTGTAAAAGATGGCTTGCAATGACAGACATCGATCGTTCAATGCATGCACTTCCTAGACCTAAACCTGCTCCGCTTTTATGTCGACTTTAATTAAAGGCAGATGCTCTTAATCAAGCATGGAGGAGTGGTTCATGCAATTCGAAGCTTTGTCTTTATTATTTTTAATGCACATTATTGGAGCTCACTTGATAGTATCCGTTCCTTAACAAATAGATTAAATACCTATATAAATTTTAAAAATTGCATTGAAAAATAAAAGTGCAAGTTCCATCATTCCGTTACCTCGCATAATACGTATATTTCAGATTGAAATAATTAAGGCTTCTATTCAATATGTTCATTTTAATGTATGTTCGTAACAAAGTACGAATATGTTAGGCATTGATCGGTATTTTTACGTTCCTTCAGGAGCAGTCTTCGTGTTTTGATTCGAAGCACTGCATGATAAATCAATAATGAGCTATGATAATGAAGAACCAAAGTATCTTATCTCGTATATTAACAAGAAATTATAAGTTGCTTCTATATCGTGATGAATGTTATCAACGACTTTAGCATTTGTCTTGTCGGTTGTTTTGTGCTACTTGCAAGTCGACTTGTATCTGCATTTGCTAACGATCCTTAATTGTCCCAGCATCAATTTCTGGATAAATAAAAATAAACAATTAAACCACTTAAAGCGGACAGGAACTTTCGAAAAATCAAAAATTATCAATTCTTTGTGACAGCTCAACATTTTAATTGCAGCGATGCTCTTGATTTAAATCCGAACCTTGAGTCAAGTTCTCCATTGGATGGGGCTACTGCATGCAACAGGCCTAAAAAGACGTGCACCGGTTGAATTTAGAGCAAAGCTAAACCAAAACGGGAACCATGTTGAGCCGTTATACACTCAAATTGCCACTCCCGTGTCATATAATAATACATATTCATCCTATATATGTTCTCAACTTTATATTTATCCTTAATATATTCAAAACTTTCACACAATAATCCTTTGTTACATAGTTACTAAACCCGATCACACATTTTAAGCAGCAACTCTACGAGTGATTCTTACTAAGATGTTTTTAAGGGGAACGTCTGGGTCCAAAATCGACAATTTTG